CACGACGATCCTACAGCGCATAAGGGCTTGGGAAAGGGAAAGGAGAAGGGCAAGGGCAAGAGTTCATCCGACCGGAGTCAGACAGTATGTCCTTTTCTTTCCAAGCCAGGTGGTTGTACATTCGGGGATCGTTGCTCGCCTGGCACCAAATCCGAAGGGGAAGGCAACACCTGATCCAGCGAAGCAGCGCAAATGCATGTTTCACAACCGTAAGGGTGGCTGTAAGCTAGGCAACAAATGCAAGTTCTTGCATGAGGGGCCGGGTTTTGCAGAAGCGGCAGCAGCTCAAGAGGACAACTCACTCGTTGGATCAGGAGGTGCGCCAGCGGCTAAAGCCAAACCTGGAGCCAAGGCGAAAGCGTCGGCTGTATCAGCAATGTCATTTGTTGACAAGGTACAGAGTACGGGAGAGACATATCATGCTCAGCCCAGTTCTTGCGGTTTGAGGTCAGAGGCCATCAACCCAAACGCATCCGCGGCTCATGACGGTCACACTGGAGTTTTAGTGGACTCAGGTGCGAATGAGATCGTGAGGTCCGTGCATGCTCTACCCAGGCGGACATCACAACTGACGCTGACTCTGGCAAACGGTGATACTGTGCAAGCGGCTAGATCCCGTGATGGTGAAGTCATAGTCGTAGTCCCGTGGGAGCAGTCACTCACCACGATTTGTGGAGCTTCGAGGCTCATTCAGGTGGGTTGCCGTTTTCAGTGGAGCGATGATGGTGCATGGCTACTGTTAGAATCAGACCGGCTATGACTGAATGGTGGAAAGACAATCGATCGTCTCCCACTGTGAAGGCTATAAGTGCAGGGGGAAATACCACCATTCCCCAAGCCATTGAGCCTAACATCATGCCACATCCGACGTGTTCGGCGGAAGGTGCTGATTTGGCCGAAGCAAAGGCACGGGACCTCTTAGATCGGGGGCAAGATGCAATCACTTGTGAATCGGTATACCAGCTCATCAAACAGAGCCAGCTGCCTCCGCAAACCAAGCATCGAGCTGTCATCGAGGGCGATGATGCCACGGTGACGGCCTGGACTTTCGGTTTCTGGTCGCATGGAGGAAAGTCTGGGATTACGACCATCACTAAACAGCGTCCTGCTCTGACCAAGGTGCTCACGTGTCTGGCGCGGAAGCTGGCTCCGACATTGCAATGGGTTTCTATGACGATCCATGAAAATCTAACGTTCATCCCACACCGGGATTTGAGGAATCTGCAAGGGTCCTCGAACTTTCTGGTATGCGTCAGTGGACCCATGGTCCGTTCAGGAGGAGAACTCTGGACAGAGAATCCGTGTGGAACCGAAACATGGAAGGTTAAGCCGGGAGTTGAGCTCCCCGGCGTCATGCACGATATCATTCAGAAGCCACTCGTGTTCGACGCAAGCAGATGGCATGGAACATCCACGTGGTAAGGTGACCGAGTGACATTGGGAGCGTACACCCCGGAGGGCATCCGCAGAGCTGCAGTGACAGATCTGATGATGCTCAGAGAGCTCGGTTTTCCAACTCCGCAACTATCATCAACAGTTAGCGCACGTTCAGAAGCTACAGAAGCAGCAGTTTTCAACGGCGCACATCAAACAACACCCGAAAGGCAAGCACAGCCACCACAGAGTCCGAATGCATCCACAGGGGACGTCGGGTTCGGACATCAGGATTACTGGGATGATGTTTGTGAGGCTCAGGCTGGGCGAGATGTTGGTCAGGATTTAGGGTTGTTGGAGTTTGGAGTGGACTTTGGTGAAAGTAGCGGGACGAGCCATGACCGACCTGTGACGGCAGAAGCAGTTGTAATCTCTGATGACGACCAATCCATTGATCTCAGTGAGGTACCTGACTTGAGTGCAGAATCGCCGGAGAAGAACGATGACGACGAGATTCGTAAACGAACCTTCCATCAGTTAGCGGCTCAGGGACTCAGACATCCACATCGCAAGGTGAGACCTGAAGACATTGCTCTGGGATCCCTTGCCATTGACATTGCTGGTCCGTATAAAGAGGGTTGCTTCCGGTATGCCTTGATTGGTGTCTTCACTTTTCAACATGCAGGCGCAGGACTTAGCTTTGTAAAATTGCTCCGGAATCGGAAGCTGGATACCATCCTGACAGCTACAGAGCAGATACTGGGCCATTTGACGTATCTGGGAGGGGATCGTTCTCCGGTAGTGCGACTTCATAGCGACAACGCTTTGGAATTCGTTGCAGAAAGATTCTCCACAGAAATCAATAACAAAGGTATCTTCAAAACGGCAACGGTTCCGCATAATCCGGCCTCCAACGGACGGGCGGAGCGACAAGTGCAAGCTTTGAAACGAGCCGCTTTGCAATTCCTGTTGGAGGGACATCTGGAGCGCAGATTTTGGCCACAGTGTCTGCTGGAAGCAGCTGCCTGTCAGCGTGATGCTGTTTTGAACGTTCGAGTTTCAAAGAAGCAATTAGTTCCAGGAGATTGTTGTGCAATTCGTGTACATCAACCAGGTCCTTTCGAGGCCAAAGCTGAAAAGGCCATCTTTCTTGCCAGGGACGAGAAGACGTCGAAGGGCGAGACAACCCATAAAGCTTGCAGCATCTGAAGAGAAATGGAGGCTACACAAGTTGGAGGATAGGTGCATCTGGGTGTCGTCTCAGGGTCGAATCAAGGAAGCCAGCGCGGAGGTGATTGACGAGCTGCCCACGTTGGAGACTCAACGGACCTGTTGACGGTGATCTCTTGTTTGGTGTTCAGGTTGGTGACGGTGGGATGGTGGCACATGCCATAACGAATTCCACTATGAACCTTGGTTGCGACGATCTGGGTGGACATGACGGCGATGTTGCAAACTGCACTGCAGCAGCCACCGTCACCGCAGATGTCGGCAAATATCACGTCTTGAGTTCCGCGCTTGAGGAGGAGTGCCAACAGGTAGAACAAGATTTGATCGAAGACAGCACAGCTTCCGCGCAGGCCATCACGAAAAACATGTCAGTGTTCAGACCGCGAAAGGACAAGTGGATTGAGTCACTCAAGAAAGAATATGCCAAAATGGACGGGGTTCTGGAGGAATGCAAGCATCAGACTTGAGACGGGTTCTTGGTTGGCCGGAATCGAAACCTTTGCCAAAGGCCATTCCATCAAAGATAGTGCCTACTTTGAAGCCCGTGCTAGATCAGTTGGCATGCCCTGATGGTGACGGTGCTGCTGCTTGCTCTCGGGATGCATTCGACAATGGGTGGAAGGAAAAGTCCCGCATCGTAGCATGTGGAAATTATGAAGCGGCCACATCGGACGAGGGCCAACCCTGGACAAGCAGCAATGTTCCTGCAGAAATCATCCGGCTCTTCGTCGCCATGGCCGCGCGACAGCGGTCATGGGGAATCGGGGCTTCCGACGTTGAAGCAGCTTTCCTCAACGGAGGAGGCTGTATTGATAACTCCACCAAAGCTGATGATTGAGTTGGGGATCATTCCCGAGGACACCACCTGGATTGCACGACGTGCAATATACGGTCTGAAACGGTCGCCAACTGAGTGGCAGACCGCAAGGGATGCTGCGTTGGATAACATGCACATCGCCGCAGGACCGAGTGATACGCTGAGGACTTTGGTGTTGCATCCACTTGATCTTTCCGCTGGCCTATGGGCCATAAAGTCAGTAGACACGGCAGCCCTACAAGGTTTGTTATGCACATATGTGGACGATGACTTGTTGTAGGGTCAGAGGAGGTGCTGCGTAGGATCACAGCTGCTGAAGCCCAGAAGTGGAAGATCCAAACGCAAGGTTATTTGCCAGGCCGTGAAATCAGTCGTGGCTCGATTACTGCCGGGAGTGTGTCACTGGAACCAGTGCATGAACTCCAATTCTTGGGGATGCAGATCGGCATGAACGCTGATGGGTATGTGATCCATCAACAAAAATACATCGCACAAGAACTGAAGGCACGTGGCTGGTTGCACCTGCGAGGCACTACAAGCCTCCCGCAACGTGCGGAAGGAACGGTGAAACCCGAAGCACGGGACGAATCCTACCCGGATCTAGTTCATCAGTGCCAGAAGGAATGCGGAGCTTTGTTATGGATCGTGCTCAGATCGAGGCCCGATTTGGCAGCAGCAGTAGGATCCACAGCATGTTTGCTAACTGCAAACCCGACGATGGCACTACAACAAACAAAATCCATTTGGCGATATCTACGAGGGACTTGGGGCGATCGTCTGCTTTACAAGTGGGATGATGCAGCTTCACTTAATATGACGATGTGGACGGATGCTTCACTTGCAGTAGGTGGCGCCCGTTCCCGAAGCGGCATTCTTGTAACATTCGATGACGCCATCCTGGTTTGGAAATCCCAAAGACAGCCTCTGTGTGCGTGGTCAGCATGTGAAGCCGAGCTAGAAGCCATGAGTCTTGGTTTGAGCGAGGGAGTGCGCATCTTAGGGATCCTTGAAGCTTTAACCAAGATTTTGTCGAAAACAAAGTTGTGTCGTGCTCGAGGCTATCTCGGCCTCATTCAGGAATGCTCAGAGCAACAGTTTTGACCCTTCAAGTTTACGTAACCTTTTGAGGGCAAGTGCCGAAGGAATAGTCCAGCACAGCGCCCACGAGGAGGAGTGTTTGTGAGCATGTGTGTAGTTTGAGTGCATGGCCCCTGCGCAAGGTCAGCACGCACTTGCTTTCGTGAACCAATGGCCACTTGAACGTGGCGTGTGTCCGTGAACCAATGGCCACTTGAACGTGGCTCAAGCACCTATGAAGAGCACAGCGAAGATTGTGCATCGTTGTGAAAGGGTCATGGGGATGTCGGGGTAGTGGGGGGTTGTGGGGGGGTGAAAAGCCTGGAGGCCCAGTAGGAATGCCGTATGATTATCTAGACGATGTGCCCCACAGTGTTCGTATGCGTCTTCAGGATCCGATGTATCAGGCCTCATCGCCTACTCCATCCCATTACTTCATCGTCACAAGCAACACTCCATCACCCCAACCACAACATCAACAAACTCATAACCAACAGATGTACTATGCTGTGAAAAGGCTGAGCGAGAAGCGGGATACGTTGCGGGGAAGGGAAGGGACTGCGCGATACGCATGCAATTCGGAACGCTTATGGCACAAGGCTCTGGCAATGTGCATCGCCGGCTGTAGCTCCGATTACACGGAAGAAGCTGTGCCCGGGGTTGTCCATCCCAGGCTTGATACATCTGCCAGCGACACCAAAGTCTAGCCCTCTGGCCGCTGTTCCCATGCTTGAGTCTTGTGAGCTTCGTGTCAGTCCTCGCTAGGGAAACTCCCAAAGGTGTCCGGAGGTCCTTGAAGCAGGATATAACCGTTGGGCGGCCGTCTTTTGCGTCTGATTCAGGGTCCTTGAGCCGGGCGTAGATGGCCGAGTCTGCTTGCAGAACTTCCGCCATCAAAGAGTGATGCCTTCGGAGCTGCGCAAAGCCAAGCAGCGCATCGCAAGCCAGGAGCTCCCTCAGGAGCTCCGCTCCGGAGGGGAGACAAAACCTAGCGACGCGCCTCGCCTCGAGAGATCGGGAAGATCGCTTGGGCATGCATCGACCTAAGCTCTCCGTCTGCTGCTATGTGCTGCTCGTGAACGGGCTGCTGGGGCCACTGGAAATCCCGGAAATTCGATGTCGCCGGTGCCTGGCACCTTGCCCTCACCAGGACTCGTCGGAACGGCACCTTGCGGCATTCGTCCCTTCCCACCAACTCGAAATGGTCCGTGTCCTGGTCTCCCACCTAAATCGACCTCCTCCTCTGCGTCATCCGCCAGGTGGAGCTGTTCACCACGTTCGAGCCTGGCCTGGCATGCACTCCTCAGAGTCAGCTGCAGGAAACGCAAACCTTCATCTCATCGCCTCAAGCTCCAGAAGCGCGCGGCAGGCCTCGATCACAGCATTGACCTTCAGAGGGCAGGTTTCACCCGTGCACAACCATGCCCACGGACAGCAACAGGGAGAGCCTGCTCCACTTCCGAACATCCCAGTCGCAATGAGTTTTGGACCTGGCTGGAGGGCACTGGATGCCGACGGTTTAGGCCCAGGCAAAGTGCCTCCCAGACCCCCTGGTGCAACCCCATCTCTGTGTTGGCACAGAGACTGGCCTGGAGGCAAGGGAACACAACCTGCAAACTCGAGTACTGCTCCAAGCTTCCCGCTTGCAGCTTCAACTGCTGGCAGAGATTGCGGAACCTGAGGCAGACAGCTCGCGACCCGTAGACCGCTTGTAGGCCATGCAAGTCGTTCTTGGAGTTTCATGCTCAGCATGATAATCTTCTCCTTCGATGTCAGTGCTTCAATATGTGGTCAGAATGAGGAGGGTCACCAGATGCACCTGATAAAGCGAAGATCCTCCTAACAGATGGTGGAGTCCCAGTCATTATTTCGCGTGGCATTTCTCGGTCCAACATGTTGCCGTGCAATGAGTACGTGTTGTTGTGCAGACCATCAGACCCGTTGCACAACGGTGCAGAAAGATGATTCAGCAGCTGTGGCCACATGACGACTCTCTGCAAGTACCTCTCAACTGCTACATGGACTTTGCCACTCGTCACTGGCGACGGTTCTCTTGTGGCACTCTGCAAGGACCGCCTCCTCTCTGTTTTGAGAGCTGTGTCCATTCTTGGGGGCTGCTCGGCAGCTTGCTGTGGGCACTTCGGTATCAGACTGTAAGGGCTCTCTGGTTGTGCTGTCCGTTCCGAGGGCTTTTTTGTCGAGATGGGACGTTAAGACGACGGAGCCTCGGACCTAGGACGTGTGCAACTGCGCAAGCACGCGCGGGGGAAAGGTCGTCCCGTTCCACAGATGGTCACGTTCTCACCGGAAGGGCTATCGATGTGACGGGTAGACGCACGACTGTCATGCGAGAGGAGATTCGAGTTGCGACGGTCTCAGACAGGGGTCCCCCATCTCCATCATGCCATGATACCAGATGCTGTATGAAGCAGCACTCCAGGGGAAACCGTTCACATGGCCTTCAGGAATGCTGCATGAGGTGTCGGACTTTTGCCAAATCTATAAAACCCTGTTAACTCTTCACAGGCTGCACAACCCATGTCTCGTTGTGTTTGCCCAAGCCTCTGCCCGCGGGGGGCTAAAATCCAAAAACATCTCTAGAACTCTTTGCTACGGGCCTTCGCACGGCTTCGTTGCCGCGCGGAATACAAAACTGAGATCAGAGCTCTGGCTGTTTGCTAAGAAGTGGAATGCGAATAGCGACACCTCGCAATGTGAATTTTCGGCCCTCCTGTAAGTTGCACTCTCAGGGCCACACTGGCAGTCAAGCAGGTCCCCAAGAGCGATGGATCCGGCCCCAGAAAGCCTGGCGCGATGCGAAAAGACGGAAAGAGACGAAGAGCTGAAGAGCTTGGGGAAGTTACGAAATGCGAAGGCGAGCCGAGACGCCGAGACGGTCGTCCCGAGCGAAGGCCAGGCCCTGCGCATCCAGCTCCGCCTGCAAAGGGCAAAAGGGCATGTCAAAAGGCAAAGCCTGTGATAGAGAATGCCATAGACTGCGGCATAGACTGCGATGGGCCTCTAGTGCGGCCAGGACGGAGAACACCCGCTCACACCTCTCTGGCGGGACACTGCGAGAATGCGTGACGACACGTGCCATAAGCCATGCCGGGCCCGCACAGCTCTCAAGCTGGGTCGGCTCGACTGGTCGGTGCCGGTGACCCGGAGATGATCCAGCTGCGAAAGAGCTTTTCGTCTAATCTGCTATGACCCAAGGCATTTTCGGACCTCGTTGACGAAGGCTGCAAAACTGCGTTGCTCGTCAACAAAAACTCCACGAGCATCAGGCCTGGGCAACTTCGGTACTTGTACCATCACCGGATACGCAGTCCCAGCAAGCGAAGTAGGGGCGAAACCAATCTCTGGCATATCCGGAAGAGACCAACACCTTGGTCAGTATCGCTATCAGACATCTACCGACGGTGATGCGGATGTGGCAAGATCGACCAGGCACAGAGGAGTCTGGCTCCTCGAAGAGTAAACCCTCTGCATGCAAGTCCAACTCCTCTTCCTCGCCTCAGCTGGTGATGATGGTAATGTTCTGACGTGTACGAAAAAGCATGCAGAGCATCTGGCTCATTCCACCAGGCTTGGGCATGTAGCTGTGTGATCCACTCAGTGGAAAATATTCACCCTGATGGATGCACATTCGAAATCAAGCAGCAGAGCACAGCAAGAAAGAGATGTCGTACCTGCAACGTGCCGGTCAAAGAGGACAAACTGCGGGCCTGTAGCAGGCAAAAAGCGTTCGGGGAGAGACGGTCTAGCGGCTCGTGCCATCAGCGCACACTGTTGAGGCTATGACAAGTACGCTCTCCACAGCCCGACGCTCATCCACACTGCAAGCTGGCAGCATCCGTGACCCATGCAAGTTTCGGCTCACCCGGATTCGAGCAAAAACTGCTCGATCACCTGAAAAGGCGGACGAAGGTGCTCTGCATTTCAAGAGGCGCGTACGCCACAGCCTGCTTCAGGCATATCCCAAATCTTCCACGCATCCATGTCCGTCCTGGCACGAAGTGCTCTAGCAACGGGGCGAGGTGAGCTTACTTCGTTTTTCCAACGGAGGGATCCTGTGCCGGAAGCCCGACCAGTTCGGATGTCGCATCCTGGCACGGGCTCGGCACAGAGTGCAATAGCCGTGGACCCGGCGTGAGTCCTGATGATGTCTTCAAAGAGCAAACGGAATGTGTCGTATGAGTGCTCATCTCCTGCCACGGCACCAACCTCGCACATTTCAGGAATGATGTCGACAGCGAGAGACAGACAGAGAGAGAGAGAGAGAGAGAGAGAGAGCGAGAGCGCGAGCGTGAGCGACACAAACACACACACACACATATATATATATATGTATGTATGTATACTTCCCCCAAGAACTAGCGCGAGGTGCCGCGATAGCGCCACCAATGCTCCTACGTTTAAGCTTTTGGTTATGACCCAGGTTTAATGTTACGTTTTGAAGCTCAGAGGAAACAGCATATGCATATCGGCAGAAGCCTTCATTCTGAATTCTTGCGACCCTTCACGCAGATACTCCGAGAGATGATCTCTGCAAAGATGAAATTCATTTCTGTCAAGCATCCTTCAGTGTAGTCTCAGATCAAGGCCCCAGCGATACGAATGAATAACCGTAGATCGTGACTGACTCCCATTCCTAAAAGTTTCCTAAACAACAGTATCCCTAAAACTAACCCTGCCAATAGACCTTACATTGGCCCCAATGGTGACAGTAGTCTTCTATTTCATGTTCACCCAAAACAGAGTCCTTATAGATTCATGTCGTAGTTCATATGGATTAACATGCTATGTCGCCTGAACCCCATTATACATTCCCTTTTTAACTCCCATATCGACCTGAAGGTTAATAAATATAATAACATACATCAGGAGCACAGAGCTCCGCCAGGCGGGGGAAGCGGTAGGGAGGGATACCATGGGGTGGGAGGGGGGGGGTGTGTTCGGGCGACGCTGCACCATATATGCTCACCCCTCCCCGCCCCCGGCGACAGACTGTCGCAAGGAAAATGGCTAAATCCAATGAAGCTTAAGGGTACTCTCACTGGGTTGAAAATATCAATTTCTATCTCGAGCCTACAGTTGTGTCAATAGCTGTTTCAACCTCGGCTTGTGTAAGACCTGCAGCTCGCACTGAACCTCAATGGAGAATTCAACCATCCATTTGGCAAGTCTTTCCGCGAGATGATTGCCAAACATTACTGATGAACTTCTCCTGTACAAACACAAATATCAATTAGCAATCTCTGCGTGAAGATGATACTATAGGAAGATCAGTTCACTGATTGTTATCGTCTGGATATTAAGCACGGAGCTTTCCTCTTTTACGATTGAAGCCTTCACGATGGGAAAGCACTACTTAACCCGAAAACTGTTAAGTCACGCCTGTACACTTAAAGCAGCATTAACCCAACATGTTGGCTTGAGTTACGCACTTCGTAAGATAGATATGTAAGATGTAAGATATCGGCTTTTGTGTGCTTTGTGTTTGCATAGGGGGGTCCCTAATTGCTGTGTTTTGTATGGCTTTAACAGTTGCTTAGAGTGCAGACCTCTGATCGAGTCCACAACCCAATTGGGGCATACATGATTGTTTAATGATCATCATTTGCTACATGTTGCATGCTTACAGTGATGTTGGTTTTGCGAAAAGCCTACACCCAGTTCGACCAACGAAGGAATAGACGTGACCTACTGTAACTCATGCACAGACTTCAGATGAACTAAACTCAGAACAAGCATGTAAAGATTTGTTGGTATAGGGACAAGATACCAAGAACCAACCTGCTGAATGCAAAAATTAACAGGCAGCCACATATTCAAACATTGTTTTTTCTCCAATATCAATCCTCCAGCTTCAATGCATTACCGGACTACCCCATCGTTCTATGAAAGCACAAGTGTGAATATTCAGGGACTAAGCTTTGATCGTTACGCACTAACAAGATGTGAATAAATTGAATAAACACAGGACTCAACAACTGATACATGTACCTGAAAATGTTTGGCTGGCCTGAAATAATGTGAATACCAACTGTTGAACAATCCACCGTTACCCAATGCTAATCGCACAGGAGTGACCGTTCCGGCAAAATGTCATTTGGTACGAATAAGAAATGAGGAGGTACAGAGTGTTAGCAATAATCAAGGAAACAGAACGCCAACTCTAACCACAGCGATGTGACAATGGTAACTGTAACTCTGGTAAATGTAACACTAGGAGTACACTGACTACACTTGATACGGTAATTCGTGCGTAGGAGAATACATCCGTACTTTTGGTATGACGCAGAATGGAAGTGGGGATTGGATAGGCTTGTAGGTGGATGACGATTATAGTTCCAATACCCATACCAATGCCTGCAATTACAATAGTGGGTCACGAACTGCAACGAGTAGCTGCTATTGCCGAAATTTACTGTTCGCTGGACAATAGACATAAAATTTCAATGCAATGGTTTTAAGATTACAGCTGTACCCGCAACTATCTGGCAATACGGCTTGGTGTTGCATATATGATTGTACGAAGCATTGAAGTAATGGACCAATGTTAAACCAATGGTGCGAAATTGCACAACAAACGGAACATTGTAGGTGTATGACGACTATAACCCCAGTCACATACCGATACCTGCAATTAAAATACTGGGTCACGAACTGCTACGAGTAGCTGCTATTGCCGCAATTTGTTGCTCTTGTGACAAATTCACTTAAAAGTTTAATGTAATGGCGTTTAAGATTACAGCTATACCGGCATTTATCTGGCAATACGGCTTGGTGTTGCATATACGATTGTATGAAGTAGTGAAGTAGTGGACTAATGTTAAGTTCATGATAAATGTCTGCAGAACATATGGAACAATATTGGACATGATGGTACATAAAATAAGTGGGAGCTCAAGCGGATCTTCGCTGTGTGTGTGGTTGTGTTGTTTTCGGTTGAATGGTTACAGCCAGCCGAAAGCATGGCTTGAATCCCGAACCCACGAAAACGGCCGGAATCGCCGGTGCGAGCGGGGTTTAAAGGGAGCGGTCTGTGATGGGGGGTGGCCATATATATCATATATATATATACACACACTTTTTTCTT